GTTTCCCCCCCCCCCCCCCTAGCGACCCTTGAAGTCTGGAAGACCAACAAGAAGCTGCATTTGGAATTTGGCTTTATGAAGTGGCTGCAACTTTGCATTTTTCAAATTTTCTTTTCTTTTCATGTGTTTTCGGCTACTACTTGTTTCATGCAAGAACATGATACTATTATGAGTATTCATTGAGAACTTAATTGTGTCTTCTTATGTTTCAAAAGCTTGGGTGGTGTATATTACTATATTTTGTGCAATTGTGTCTTTTCACTTTTTTTTATGAAGCTAAAAAAATTTAAGGTTCATTTTCAATGCATTAGAGTATTGCAAGGGGATAAGCTCAATTTCATTTTAGGCTTCAAATTCATAATTATTTTAATGATGAATTAATGCATTTTCTTTATTACATTTTGAAGCAGTTTCTTATAGTTTAGCTCCCTCAAAATCGTCAGCAAATGCCAAATTTAAAAGAGACTATATTACAAGGAATGAAGGAATAAGCTCTTAATACTCCTCTCCAAACTAAAATCTTTGTACACTCGCTAAAATATTAATTTTAGTAAATTAGATCATTTACCAAAATACTCTCTCCGTCCCAAAAAGTTTGTTACGTTTAGAAAAAACTGCGTCCCGTAAAGTCCGTTACATTTCTATTAAAAAACCACTTTTACCCTTTACTTTTTCATACCCTACCTATCACATCATACCTTTTTTCTAATAATCTACCTATCACATCCTACTTTTACCCATCACATCAAGGGTATTTTTGGAAAGTCAATACCAAAATATCCCTCCCTTAATTTCTCAAAAAGTCAAACCGTCCCATTCTTTTTGGGACGGAGGGAGTATTATTTAAACCCGAAATCAAGGCTTTGTTGGCGTAACCCCAAAACATTTCACAATTAAATTGTCATCCAATACATTACTTTGAATGGAATTCAAACTTAAGCAGTTGACATACCCAAACAAGTTGTAAGTTTTTGGCAGTGACCATTTGTGCATTATTTTCATTTTTATGATGATTTGATCTTAATGGATATTAACGTTTACTTCACCCGCTCTTAAATAATTATCCTTATTTATTTTTTGGACACACCTGAATGGTCTTACTTTCTATAAAAGGAAAGAATTATGTGGCTAAAAAAATTTCTATTCAAATTCTAACCACTGTTTTTTATTATTTTGCAATATTTTTCTTAAAATTCATGAAAGTTAAACAAAATGATTACTTAGGGACAAAAGAAGTATTTCCCATATGTTAGATGGTGTTATTTAGATGATGATTTAAAACTCTGTGTTAAAAGCGTATTATTGATAATGTTTGACAATGCACTTGATAATTGATTCTTAATTTTTCCGTCAAAGAGGTTAAAGTTGATAAACACCTTTTAAAGTTGATCACAACGATATCAAAACAGTAGTAAAATCCCATAAAATTAAATTTTTTTTAGAATATACACAGATCTTATACCTACTTATAAATAGAGAGAATTTTTCTAAAATCCACTTCAGTGCACACACTTGTAAGATCATGTGTTTAACATATACACTTTTCTGAAATCTCAATCAACACCAAATGAGTTCAAATGAACATAATCGCGCATCGAAGTTTCCTAAATCACCTTCCATTTAAAAAGATCTCTATTTTCTTAAATCTGAAGTAGAGTGTATGAAATTAATACGTTGTAAATCTAATCCAAATCACAATTTCTGATTCCAGATTAAAGTTCAAATCATTTCAACGAGCATTATAAGTTCAACAAAGTTGAGTTACTCATTAATACCACATTGGAATATAATCTTTGTTTATAATCATACTTATAGAAAATGCATTATACTGCGCGGAATAATAGGAGCAGAACAGCCCAAGAGTCATAATCGAACAGTTAAGAATTGGAAATTAAACAGAGGCAACAATTAAGACCAAAATTTGAATACCCCTTTATTCTAATAAAAGGTTGTTTGTTTGTAAAATTGTTTGTCAAAAAAAAAGAGAGACAGAGCCGGGGGAAATACAAAACGCTCGATCTGAAACAAATATAAACTCGAAGAAACCAGAACATAAATCATCAAGCCGCCACCGCGAGTAGGAAGATATATCAATTTGAAGGGCTTTAAATATTATTATAGCTTGGAAGATTTGGAGGCGGAGAGGGTGATGAGATCTTTCCTTAGTATCTTGCCTGAAGGATTCTTCGGGATGGAATCTATGAACTCCACCCGCCTGATGCGTTTGTAAGGAGCAACCTGCTTGGCAATGAAGTCCATGAGTTGGTTTCCTGAGATACAACTCCCACTTCTACGAACCACATATGCCATGGGGAACTGCCCAACATCCTTGTCCGGAAACCTGCAGAGAAACCATCCAAAAAAAAAAAAAAAACCCCTACCTGCCTTAGTACCTTCAATTCATTCATGAGCTCAAATCATCATAAATCTTTGTTTGTTTGAGAAACTAATTAAACATATGTGTTGTTGGCTAATTGCTAGTTGGTGGGGTATTATATATTGGGACAGCATGCATGCCACTTACGGTATAACAGCAGCATCATCAACTTCTGGGTGTGTGAGCAATAGAGCCTCCAACTCCGCAGGAGGAACCTGTATATATATCCATCCATGAGTAGCTCTAGCTAGTGAAAATCACACACACTCCATACGTGTATATATACACACATATATAACAATCACAAGGTAAAACAAAGAGAGACCTGGTAGCCTTTGTATTTGATGAGCTCCTTGAGTCTATCCACCACAAATATGAAGCCATCTTCATCGATGTAACATAAATCCCCAGTCCTCAACCACCCTTCTGAATCCACCGTCGACGCCGTAGCTTCCTCGTTACTTAAGTAACCTATTCATTCATTCATTCATTCATTCATTTTGTAATACTCGGTCAGGAACGTATCTATTTATATACAGCACGTTCATTTTGACACATCGTTTTAAAATATCATAAGCATTGAAAAAGAAGTAAGACGAGTAGGATGAAAAAAGACATACCCTTCATAATGCAGGGCCCTTTTAGCCAGAGCTCCCCAGTCCGGTTGACGGGCAAAGGCGTCCCATCATCGGCGTTGACAATCCTCGCCTCCATGCTCGGTGACAGCAATCCCGCCGTTCCGTACTTCCGGCTCTCCTCCAACGAGTCAGTTGACGCCCCGATGCCGGTGGACTCCGTCAATCCGTACCCCTGCAGAATGGTCACCGCCGGGTACTTCTCCGCGAACCCCTCGATCACCTCCTTGCTCAACGGCGCGCCGCCGGAGAGCACCTTCTTCAGGCTGCTCAGATCGTACTTCCTCTTGATCGCGTCCGCGTTGTTGATCAGCGCCATCAGAATCGGCGGCACCAGCGGGAGGTACGTCGCCCTGTATCTGTTGATCGAAGATAGCATTTCGTCCATCTCGAATCTGGATAGGACAACGATCGTCGATCCCGAAGCCAACAGCCCGGTGGCGAAGACGGCCAATCCGTAGATGTGAAACATCGGAACAGTGCATATGTAGGTTTCGGTCTCGGATTCCTCCCCTGATCTCTTGAACCGCCCGTCCACAATCTCGACCATCGCGATGAGGTTTCTGTGCGAGGAGACGACGCCTTTGCTGGCCCCGGTGGTGCCGGAGGAGTACAGTAGAGTCGCGGTGTCGTCCTGAGTGACCCGCTCTTTGATTCGGGTCTGACCCGGCGGCCTGTTCATCATCGCTTCCAGGGTACTCACGATCCGGAGGCCGGCGGTTGAAGAACCGGACTCTTCCCCGATGAGCACGATCGGGAGATTCGAATCGGCGAGTTTCGGGAGGAGTTGAGGGACGGTGAAGGCGAGAACCGGTTTCGAATCGGCGATCTGTTTTCCGATCTCCCCCTTCGTGTTGAGCGGGTTAGTGGTGGTTATAACGGCGCCGAGGGACATGACGGCGAGGCAGACGACGGGGAAGAATATGGAATTGGGGGAAAGCACGAGGACAACGTCACCCTTCCGGACGCCGATGTCGGAAGAGAGGGACGACGCCACCGATTCCACGGCTCTCCATACATCGGAGTAGCTGAGCTGACGGCCGGTGGCGGCGTCGATGAAGGCAACCTTGCCGTGGTGTGCCCGGGAGGAAATGAAGGTGGTGACATCGATGGAGTCGGTATTTGGGAGAGCAATGGGGCTACGCTTGCTGTAGAAGGTGGAGTTGGACTTGCAGAAGCCGCTGCGGGAGTCGACGGTGATCGGAGAAGCCATGGATGGGAGCTAGCGAGCAGGGGAGTTGAAGGAATGCAGATGGGCAGGACGGGACGGGGGTGACTAAATGGGAGTGTGGAAGTCAAAGAACACGAACGGTCTTTGATTTGATTGGGCGCATTTTGACTTTTCGCAAATCTATCACGTGCCAAATCTAATTACAGACCGTATACTCCGTATGTTGTTGATGAGGTACTCGGCCCGTTTCTCCGCAACGTTACGGGCTTGGACTCATTCTTTTTGGAGGACCACGTGTTTGGACTTGACTCTTTAAGGTATGGATCGGACTCGGGTTGTATAAACGGTGACTCGTGTATTTTATGGCCGTGAATGCTCATGTCTATGGGCCGGGCCGGTCAGAATGAATATCAATACTTCTTCCGCCCACAAATTAGTTTTTTATTTTTTTTTGGACAAAAAAAACTCTAAAACGTCAAAGAAACTAAAAACGCCAATTATACTCTTTTCTCTAATTGCTCGTACATACTATCATGCACGCAACCCTCTTCCACTTGAATAATGTCTAGTGGCGGGTTTGATGTTGGACCTTTATTTTGAACGATATTCAGTTGTGGTGGACATTTACTTTAACAATGACTAGTGCATAATGACCAGAGGTACTATATTGGAAAATACTCCTTCCGTCTCACTGTATTTGTCCATTTTTTTTGGATGTCCCACTGTATTTGTTCACTTACTATTTTTGGTAAATTTTAAAACATCATAAGTCACTTTTGTCCCTCTTTATTTTAACCCACCACACCCTTCCTCATTTATCACTCACTAGTCACTACTGTGTTTAGATCTAGTCAGTTCCCGTTTATAGATCTATCTATCTTCCTCTAGTGTCTTAGATTTACTTCACATATCCGGTGGTGGTCCGTTTGACTGTAAAGGACATCCTGATCTTCCGATGAATATTTAAGGAGATGGACAGAAGTTTTGGAGGGGATGTGCGACGAACAACGATTGTGGCGGTGTTGGAGGGAGGAAATTGGCCCTGTCCGATTTGGGATTTTTGTTGATGAAGATGATGATTGGTGGAGAAAAAGGAGGAGCCGATGAAACTAAAAGAGGGTATTTTTGTGTTTTTCCTCTACCCTGTCTCAGTTTCTTGGTATTTGTGCATAAAGAATATGGACAAAGAGCGTGAGAAGATGAAGTAAAAACATATGGTACACCAATCACCGCATATTTCCCCAATGCAGCCTCTAACCAGAGAGGCCTACGGCGGAGGAATGTATGGGAAAGATGACGACGAGGAGCCACCACTGAAAAAGAGCAATCCGCCAGCCAGCCAGACACAGAGCGCCGATGGCCCGGAAGAGACCCCTCCGCCGCCCAAACGCCAGCCTCCGCCCTCTACCGGGGACCGTGATCTCGACATCACCGGCCAATCTTACATTCAGTAGGTGCCCTCAACATGAAAGGAAAGACAAATGCCCTTTTTTAAATGCATCAATATAATATAATACTCCAGTTTGATCCGTGTATGTTAATTAATCAACTATGCTAGTACAAATTAATCAAATGCTGTTTAATCAACTATGGTCACCTTTTTTTTTGCTAAGAGTTGTTCTAACTTCTATATGTACGCACTCACACAAACAAACATACATGCCAAGCAAACCCACAATTTTTTGCTCACTTGTTGATTAAAAAAGTGTTCAATGTTACTAAACTCGAACCAGCAGTATTTAGTGTTTGGCTTCCGGCTTCCGGTTTCCGGTTCGACGACTGGTGGTCGCGTCAGGGTTTAACAACACTAGTGTTGTTTGTGTTATATGACTCGCTGAAGAAAAAAATTACATTAGTTGTGTTCATGTAATTTCCTATTTCCTACCAAAAATTCAAGGTGTGGTTACAATTCAAATATGAGGTTCCCCTAATATAATATGGGTTGTGTAAACAAACAATAATTAGGCTAGTCTGCAGACTGTAAGCCGAGGCGACACATGTGGCTCGCAGGAGGAGCTTGCCAAGAAGCTGACTTCAATTTCATGGCTTTGAAATCATTCAAACATTGCTTGATACTCAGCCTCTTCAGCCGCTTTCGGGCGGCAGCCAGCTCCTTACCGGCAACCTCGTCAAAAATGTTCTCCCACTCTTCCTCCCACTCCCCGTGGGCGTCGCACAGCTCGATGCTGTTGTTGGCCCAATTCGTCCAGCTCCAGTATTTGTTGAGCTGACTCATCACCGGGGGGACGCACTCCCCCGTGCAAGCCGGGGTGCACGGCCTGCATTTTGCCCCGCTCAGTGGGCCTGGGCTTGAGATGGAAGCCACTGGGACGCCCATCAGGCCGGGAGGGAAAGGGTACTGGCGGTCTGTCACGACGCAGAACGGGAGGCGGTGGGTCAGGTAAGGGACCTCTTGGGTCGTGAGTTGGGCTTTGAAAGCCCTCTCGGAGTTGAGTTGCTCGTACCCGGCCTCGTCGAGTTGGGGGATGAGGGAGAGGCGGGAGAGAGCCACCACGGAAGTGTTGAAGTCGCCAATGCCTATCCGGTCGTTCAGGCCGCCGTAAGACGAGCCCGGCGGGACCACGTACTGGCCCGGAATGAAGTGTTTGGGACGGAGGCGGTCGGACCAATAGCCATCCACTCTGGTGCGGACGATCCAGTCGTAGGTGAATCCGTTGTTGGTTTGGTGAGCACGGATCATGGTGAGACAGCCTTCAACAAGATTGAAATATTGCAACAACCCCTGCATGAAAAAAAATAAAATAATGTAACATACTCAATATTAGTAACTAGATAAAATAATATTTTAAAAATAATTTAAAAAATATATTGAGTAAAATTATTTTTATATCAATATCTTGTATTAATTTTGTGCAAATTTGACGACAAAAAAGTCAAAATTGAACACATACTTATCAAATTCAGCTTAGGCATTGCACTATTGCTAATGCTCCTCAAGTCTAATGAAACCTCAAAAGATTTGACTTGCTTTCTCTTTTTTAGAAACAAAACATAATAGAGTAAAACTGAAGAGAAAGAGAAAGAAAAAGACTTCTGGCCTCTTTGGGAACAGCGTTAGCGATTAGCGTTAGCGGCGTTTAGCGTTAGCGTTTTTAAAATAATCTGCACCGTTAAAATTTTATCTAAAACGCTAACGCTAATCTCTAACGCTATTCCCAAACAGGTCCTCCATGTTTGTGAACCTTCGTATATGCACAATGTGGAGACCACTTAATAATTGAATAAGATTAAAACATAAGTCATTTTCTAATATATGACTTAAACTTTTTATTTCTAAAATAGTACTTAATAATGTCGAATGGTAGAAATAATATCCAGTAGTGACATTTACTTGAATAATGACTAATGAATAATGATTTGGTCCTATATTGAAAAATAAAAAACATATCATGCTATATTAAGAAATTTGTCTCCTTTTAATAATTTCCTGTAAAATTGAATGCCACAAATGACACTCAAAAATAGAGATTGTGATTATTATTAATTTTTAATTGTAATTAAAGTTCCCAAAAGAAAAGGAGAAGAGGAGGGAGGAGCAGACCTGAATGCCGTTGGGGGAGTCCTGGGGAGTGAGAACCCTGGTTTGCGACTCGGTCTCGTTGATGTGAGTGGGCTCGAAGATTCTGACGGCGGCGATTCTGGGGGCGGCCCTGAGCAGCGAAAGCTTGTAGGAGTTGGAATCGAGGGGGCAGTGGAGGAAGAGGTCAGATCTGGGATACGCCTGCAGAATCCTCCGGATGATCGACGGCCCGGTGAGCTCGAACCTGCGAGCCCCGCCCACCAAGCATACCGCTATCCTCGATTCGTTCCCGTCCGCCGCCCTCGCGCGCGCCTCCTCCGCCCGCCGGAAATCGAAGCGGCCGAAGATGGAGACCAGGGAGGGGGAGGAAACGGAGGGGAGAGAGGCATAGACGAGGAGGGAGAGGGGGAGGAGGAGGAGCAGCAGAATCCTCCAATCGAGATCTGAAACCCTTCTGGAGAAAAGCTTGGAAAACAGCGTCGTCATCTCATCTCCTCTCCTCGAATCCAGTTCCAATCCACACGCACAGAGATCGATGGAATCCACAACCAATGGAGGAAATAATTGTTCTGATGATGATGATGATCGTGAAAACATCAATTTTCAGAGAGTTGCAATTCATTCATTTTCATTTCTCTGTTTGTTTTTCTCTTTGGGGGGGTGGGATGAAGGGAGGAATTGTTGAACGGGCAATGTTTGTGGAAGGAAGGTGGTGGCAGAAAAAGGGGGCGATAGATGTGTGTTTTTTTTTTCCTAATGAACGCAAAAACGTGCATGGGAGGGTTACAATTGCGCCCAATTTCTAAAATCGGAAATGTCACGCGTTACTATTTACAAATTACATTATATGAATTTCAATTTATTTACTCCCTCCGTCCCCCTAAGATGTTCTCATTTTGACTTTTGATGATTTTTAAAGAGAGTTGAAAAAAGGTGAAAGTTTACCATAATACCCTTAATGAAATATGGGTGGAGTGTATTAAATGAGGTGGGTGGGGTGTAATAAATAAAGTAAGTGGGGTAGTTATGGTATTTTAATTGTTAAAAAATGAAATGAGAAGATCTATTGTGGACAAAGAAAAAGGGCTATTGAGAAGATCTATGGGGGACGGAGGGAGTATGTTTTTTCTTAAATATTGATTGATATTTTGTAGAATTTTTAACGTAATTTTTAAATATGAAATTTGTTTTCTATTTCTATGTAAATCTTTATATAAAATGAATTTAAAAAATTTGAAATTTTATTTTATTTGATTTCATGTGACATTAGGGTATTTTTCTTAAATTTAAAATGAAAATAATTTAAAACACTAAAAAGTTGTGGGCAAAAACAAAACAAAAAAATTAAAATGGGGGTTAATACTAAAAGGAAAATGATCGATAACCTTATTAAATGCACTAATTGAAATTAGTTCAAACAATTAATACACTAGGTCAAACCTTATTCACTGAGTCAAACTTTATTCACTTTGTTAGCCTATTTTCATTGCTTATTTGATAAAATAATATAGTCATATCACTTCTAATTTTGTAAATCTTTTCATATAGTTTTTAAATATATAATTTTTAAAAATAATTTTCATCCTTACGATTTTTCATATAAAAAGATTTGAAAATAACTTTAATCAAACATTGTAACGCACAACGAAAACATTATTATTGAATGAAAGTATATTATTTAAAAAATATCCCAAACTTTAACAATGATCACGAACCATACTTCGATAAAGTTCCAAAAAAAATATTCCTTGATATTACTCTAACTTTTTGTGTAAGCTTGTCACCAAATCCGGGTAAATTTCACAAATGATACCTGAACTTTAGCTGGAATTTCGAAGTGTACCTGAACTTCAAATCCTTTCACAAAAATCCCTGAACTTACACAATCCTTTCACTAATGAGCCATTAGCCCGTTTCTAGGTTAACTTCCGGTCATTAGAGCCAAATTCAAATTTTATATATTTTAAAATTTTTAATTTGACCCCATTTCTTCTTTTCTTTTCTTCAACGGCCCGCCGCCGCCGCCCGCCGGTCAAAGTCGCCGGAAAATGAACTTTTTCGATTCCGGCGGGACCAATGTCATTCTCTTCGTCTTGAGACTAGGATCAATAATATCCAAACCATTTTGTCTAATTTGGCCTGTAACTCTTGAATCTAAATTTTTCTACTCGAAAAAACCCTAAAATTCGAAATTGGATCCAAAATTGGGGGTTTGCAAATCTTCATCAAATCTTGCAATTGAGGGGTTCTTGGAGGTTGCCCGGATGCCACGACCGCATTGGCGTTGGTGCCCGCCGTCAATTTCGCCGGAGTTGGCCGGAAAACGCTCCGACCCGCCGGCGGTTTCCGACGGATCGGAGCGTTTTCCGGCTAAAGCCGGCGAAATTGACGGCGGGCACCAACTCCAATGCGGTCGTGGCATCCGGGCGACCTCCAAGGACCCCTCAATTGCAAGATTTGATGAAGATTTGCAAAACCCCCAATTTTGGATCCAATTTCGAATTTTAGGGTTTTTTCGAGTAGAAAAATTCAGATTCGAGAAGTTACAGGCCAAATTAGACAAAATGGTTTGGATATTATTGATCCTCGTCTCAAGACGAAGAGAATGACATTGGTCCCGCCGGAATCGGAAAAAGTTCATTTTCCGGCGACTTTGACCGGCGGGCGGCGGGGCGTGGAAGAAAAGAAAAGAAGAAATGGGGTCAAATTGAAAATTTTAAAATATATAAAATTCAAATTTGGCCCTAATGACCGGAAGTTTACCTAGAAACGGGCTAATGGCTCATTAGTGTAAGTTCAGGGATTTTTGTGAAAGGATTTGAAGTTCAGGTACTACTTCGAAATTCTAGCTAAAGTTCAGGTACCATTTGTGAAATTTACCCCACCAAATCCATATTATTCTTCTCATAAAAAAGACAATTATCATTTTTAAAAATAACTTTCGCCGTTAAAATATTAGTAAAAACTTTAACAAAGAGTTACTCCCTTCGTCGCAAAATTATACGAAGTATATGCTTAACTTGACTTTACGAAGTTTAGAAAAAAAAAATTCTTAAAAAAGGAAATGTCTCTGGACAAAAGTAAAATGTGATGAAATACCTAAAATATGAGGGGATATTACCCTAAGTAGCACTATAAAGCAGCAAAAATAACCTATCTAGCCGTGCAATGATATTTTTTACCATCATAGGAGTATCTAGCGTGGCATACCATTTAATAACTCCATTCTACCTTTGTTTCCCTTATTTCCTAAGATTATACTGATTTTGGTTAGCTCCACAAATTTGGGAGCTTTTAAATTACTTCATTATTGATTACTACTTCACATTATAGTTTTTAAATTTTAGGGAGTATTTCCTTTATTGGTATATACTTGTACGTATTGAAGCAAAAGCAGTTAGGAATTCATTGGGTTGTCGAAGAAGACGTACATCAATGAAGAAGACCAGCAAAGGATTTCAGATTTTCGACGATGGAGTCTATAACAGAAGGGGACTCCGTCTTGGTCCCTGAGAACAACAGATGTTTAGGTGCTTCAGCTCTGTCGAAATAGAATGCTCCCGGAACCAACTTTTGTTTTGGCTGCAGGGCCAACCATACGGCAGTATCCGCCCCTTCCTCGCTTGTTCTCAGCTTCCCTTCAAATCTGAGAACACCAATTCCACACAATGCCATCAATGTCTACTCTATATATGTTAGAATTTCGGTGGGCCGAGTATTGGGTGAGATTTAACCACTTCCTCATTTCAAGTCGGGATGGATAGTGCATCACCTTTCTTTATATGGGAGTAGTGTTTATTGCCCTCTAGGTTAGGAGTTGGCCAGGCGGCATCAATTGCCCCATGACAGAAGCCGGCTGGGCCAAATCATTGTCAAATGCTATACGCACTTGCGTGTATTGAATGCACTGTATAAGACTTGGGGGATATACACATTCTCTAACACCAATTGGTTTTGGAAAAGTTGCTAGTGCACGAGACCTAGCTCCTAGATGGAGAATTATGGAACACTGTGCGGGGAAAAAAAGGGGGTAAGTGAGTACTTACGCTTTTGAGAAGGATGGGAGGCTGTGTGAAACCCCAGGAGTGGCTGCCCATCCGGGATGCATCGAATAAAACCCGATGCCCTTATCTTTATACATTTCAGACCACTTCTCGGTCAATGCGACCTGGCATGTCATAACATTAGTACATCAACATTCTGTTTGTGTCACTTTTCTTCATTGTGATGGAGGAAAGTGCATCATGCCATCAGAGGTAAGCCCTAACCGTTGGAAATATAATAATCATTAAACTAGAACGTGTCACATACCTGAACTCGTTTGTTACGAGCATATTGTTCAACTCCGTCAAACTTATCACCGCTATACTGTTAAAAAAAGAATTCAGGACATGAACTGTCCATAAAAACGAGAAGGAATTGACTGAAATGGGGGAAATATATTTACCTGTAAATCATTGGTTAAGGGAGCAGTGTACATTCCACCTGATGAAACTGTAATCACACGTGCATCTGGTGCAGCCTTCTCAAGGAGAGGCAACAACAGCTCTGTAAGGGTATAAGTTCCCAGGACATTCACAGCAAAATTCATCTCATATCTGATCACGGATTATTATCAAAAGATTATTAGATTTAATACTATCAACATAAATCTGAAGCACAATTCATGTTCTTTGAAAGACGATAAGATAACCATACCCGTCTGGTATAGTAACTCTACTATTCTCAAGAAGTCCAGCGTTGTTTACCTAAAGAAATGAGGCATTCTCAGCAGATACAAAAATGAATGATCAAAAGAAGCCGACCTATTGCGGAAAGTTTTATATTCCTAACAAAAATAAAAACACGGTAAAACAAATACCAGGACATGAATGGACAACTTAGTTGAAGAGAATCTGGAGGCGAATGCTTTAATATCACTAACAGATGAAATGTCACACACCTGCCAAAAAAAAAGTGACTATGACTGATGAGCCATCACGGGCCTATATACAAAATCATGTACATGAGAGTAAGCTAGCAAACTACTTCCAAGAAAACATTTGTGTTCCCAGTGGTTGACCGGATTTGGGAAAGAGCTGCTTCCCCCCTCTCTTTATTCCGGCAAACCATATACACATTTGCTCCTCTGAAAACACACGGCAACATCAGTGTTCATAGCATCATCTGAACGGAATATCGTAGGAACTTATATATATATGTAAGCGGATGAAAACCAGAAAAAAAAGGCAAAATTATAGAATGTTGAGATTTGAAAAGAAATGACTCCAAACCGTGAAGCGAGGCCCTGGGTAATTGCAAAACCAATGCCAGAATTTGCACCAGTAACCACACAGTTTTTAGCTTCCATTCTTGCTTCCATATCTTCAGGGTTGAACTTCTTAGAATGTTCCCTGGATTGTGTTAGCAGCCTTACTTAACACTTGGATGTCTAGGGGACAATATTCTGTAAACTCGAAGGTCAAAACAGTAGAAAGAAGAGCATATCTATTTAAGGAACATAAGTGCCAATGTATGTTCTTATGCTCTACTTCAAGAACGATGTGATAAGCTACACCTCAAATTATTTTATTAATTTACTTTTTACATTTACATGGTTTGAAAGAATTATACTCTGTATTTATTTCATAGTCAAAGACTTCCCCTCTCCTAAAATATCTCCAACCAAAAACAAGCCTTCAAGGAACAGAAACTGTCACAAGAGTATAAGACCATTAAAAAGATGTGGTTTATTTTTATTAACACCGGTTTGATTCAAAAAATTTGGAAGGACAAGAAAATGGTATTCTCTCATTTTCCTAACCAAAATGAGAGGAAATTGGTATTCTCTCCTCTTAGTATATTTTACTTCTCATTTTTCTTTTCTTTTCCTCCATAATCATACCCAAAAAAAAATGTTCCTCCCATTTTCTTTTCTTTTCCTTTTCAAATTCCTTCAACCGAACATCGGGGCGGTTCATGTGACATTGCCCGGTAAGGTCATGAGATAACCCGGGGGCACTACAGTACCTCGTTTGTAAAATTGACAATTCCTACTCTCTAACCCCGAGTAAACCCCCCACCCCACCCCGACCCGAACACACCCCCTTCAATTGCACCCCCAAGTTAATTTTGACTCCAGATTCGAAATTAACTTGGGGGTGCAATTGAAGGAATGTGGGTTTACCGGGGGTTAGGTGGTAGGAAGTAGGAACCGTCAATTTTACGAACGAGGCACCGTAGCACCCCGGGTCATCACATGGGGTTACAATATCATGGGAACCCTCCGACCAAACATAGTGTAAAGCAATACAATTATTAGTTTGAAATTCTCAAAAGATATACTCCCTCCATTGCAACAAAGCTAAATCACAAAAGAGCAGAGCGTCCTGTCCGGAAGCAGTAAAAAAGAAAAAGGAAAGCACAAGCAGCAAAGCGTAAGAGTACTTACAAAAAACCGGATTTGGTGAAATTTAGGTACCCGTAGGCGGAAAAGGCTGTAGTCCTCCATGCCTGCGGTTTGCTTGGAGCAAAATCCGTTTAGCAACGAGAGATCAATTGCTGTATTTACATAGGCAAATGAGAAACCGGCGTTGACTGATATTACCTTGACTAGAAACATGGCGGAGGGCCTGCTGAGCTCCGATGGGTGGAATTGGAGTTTGTGAATTTTGAATGAAACACGACAATCGTTTCAGAAACTGGGGTTATCTGGTCTGCACTTGTTGCCTATTAGTTTTAGCCTCGGCCATTTGTTGTTTGGCATACTAGTAAATGAATTTTGCCATTTTTTGTAGTACTACTACTTCCGTCCCAAATTATAACGTCTGTTTCGGTTTACGATGTTTGATTGAAATTATTTTTAAACCATTTTATATGACAAATGGTATATAATTAAAAAATAAAAATTACATATTAAAAAACTAAATCAAAAGATCTACAAAACTAGTAGTGACAATAATATTTTATTTTATCAAATTACTAACGAAAATAGAGAAAGAAAGTGAATAAAGTTTGACTCTGTGAATAGTAAACAGGCATTATAATTTGGGACGGAGGGAGTATAAATTAAAGAAAAATTATAGATTGCTTTTAATTACATAGTATAAATTAAAGAAAAATTAGATTTGAATTTGCAACTGACATGGGTAGAGGTGGCATTTGTAACTGGGTTAATTTTGAAATAGAAGACTTTGGTCCAAATCCGAATCAAAATTCTTTCAATTCCCAAACAAGTAATTTGGATCAAATCCAGATTCAGAATCCAAATTCAAGTTCCCAAACACAACATTATGGAATTTTAAATTACAAAAAAAAACAGAAAAAAACAGGTTCTCTTCCAGTCCATGGCACCAAACAAACTGTAAAAATGAACAAGATTCTCACAACAGCCATACATGTATGTGTATATATCATTGAGATTCATTCATGTTCTCATCTGGACATTCTGTCTCCCTTTCCCTGACATCACTATTACTAATGGTAGGAGACTTCTGAAGACCTTCTTCACCTAGACTGGTAAACATGGCCTCACTTTTAATGGTGGGCAGATTCGTCACTTTCTCCTTCTCCTCCAACTCTTCCGTCTCACTTTTAATGGTGGGCAGATTCGTCACTTTCTCCTTCTCCTCCGACTCTTCCGTCTCACTTTTAATGGTGGGCAGATTCGTCACTTTCTCCTTCTCCTCCGACTCTTCTGTCTCACTTTTAATGGTGGACAGCTGATCACCTTGGACTTCTTCGTCCATGTGCGGATTCTTTACATTCTCCTCCTCCACCTCCTCCGACTCCTCTTTTTTCACACTTTTACCGACACCACTATCATTCACGGTAGGTAATTCTTGGAGACCATCCTCATCACTTGCCACCAACGCTACATTGATTGGCATGGTTTCAGATTCACTGGCTGTTACTTCCTCCGTGCTATCTTCCACCCTGTAATAGGCCTTCACGAATGAGGGGAAAGCAATGTGCCAAGGTTAGCCAAGAGATTTTTGAAACGAGGAGCCTTTTGGAACCAGCCACAATATTATGGGATACCAACACAGAACGAACGGGTAAAAGTTGAGGGGGGTCTGACCACACATGTCTGAGCAGGAGAGAGGACTTTGAACGAGTTTGGACGACCATTAAAATTTGTCTCAAAAACTCCAGGTATCCCTTCGGGGGATGTGAAATGGTCTACATCGTGTCCCACCTATCCATCAAGAAGAAGAAAAAAGCGTCTCTATCACACACAATGGGATACACTCATCGCCTTAAAAGCCATGATATTTTTAAATCAAGCTACTCACCCTTCCATGCCCGCCAAAGGCCCAAGCATCACTATCCAATGCAACTCGATATTTACCTGGCAAGTCGCATCCAACTTTGTACCTGGCATGTTTCGATTTAATAAGAAGGATGAGGAGCAGCCGTGAAAATATGCAGTTCTAGTTTGGCTTTGGTTGAATAGTTGAATTTGTTCTCTACACACAAAACATAACATTCATAAACACTCCTCATATGTATATGAAACAAATTGCTCAGGCTGGAAAGAAAAGTGTACCCCTCATATGTATTCTCTGCATGAAAGTTAAACACAAACACCAGATCTCCATGCTCAAATACAATGACCTGTCAAGGAAAAGTGGTAAGATGCTAATGTATGATTTACGCTTCTGATTAACACTGCATGATTAGCAAAGAATATATTTGCGGTATTCTTCCATCAATCCATTTCATCTTTAGTGTGTACAGTGTTACCTTATTATCTTCGTCTATGCTGCTTACTATCTGCTTTTCTGAAGAAAGGAAAGAAAACTTCTCATCAAGCAAATTCATGGCCCTGTCAAATTCATTCATGAACTGCATTTGAAGGAGAAACAGAAATTTAGGATCGTTTGGTGCCGAACAGAAAACAAAAGTTACCAAACAACGCCTTAGTTATCAGACACACGACATAATAACTACAATTCTCACTACATTGTACAGAATACTGAAGGAAAAAGATGGAGGTAGGGCTAGTTTTCATTTTGGCCAAGATTATAAAAACTTCTAAAACAGACAAGGATTAATTGATGATCCATTGAGGGAATTAAAACCCATCGTATTACAGAGTATATTTCATTAAAATCTTGAACCTTGTATCTCAAGTGAGCTGTATCCACAAGATTCCACTGACGCCTACACTTGTCATAACTCCAATTGTTGCCTTCTCTAGGGAAGTCAATCCACTCAGGATGGCCAAACTACATTAAGGAAAATGATTTGTTACATTGTTGAAATAAACAAATCAAAATACAGTGTCCCACTCAGAAATAATGTCTTCGGATGGTAAGATGTATGTAAACCTTAGTACCTTACCTCTAACCCCTACAAGTAGAGGCTATTTACGTAAGGACCCCGGGCTCTGTAAAAAATGAAATTTTTTGGAATGTGATAAAAAACAAACCAGCCACAGTTTGAAATAATAACTTATCACAGGCATTTATGTAGCCTGAAGAGTGTAATTAACTGGATATGAATGGTCATTTTCCTAAACACCCAGGAACCTGTTCAGATACGCCTCTGGACACTCATAAGATTTTTACAAAAAATGGTGTTTGAGTGACCTTTTAAAAATGTTTTTCAAAAGTCAAAACACACTTAAACATGCTTATGAAAGCCCTTAGATGATTGATGGGTGCTTCTTCCAAGTGTGCTTTTGACGTTTAAATGCTAATGTTAGTAGAACCAATTTTATCAATGGCTCTTCTTCCAAACCCGCGTTTTAAAAAATCACATCCAAACAAGTGTGTAATCCATCTTCATGGTCTTGAAAGGCAACAAGAGATAATACATACTGTTCTTGACAAATGTTCTCCTTGTGTGCTTGTGTAATTCTCGATAATGCTATTAAGGAAAAAGCTAAAGACGTTCGTGACAGATGTTCCCCTTGTATGCTGGCAAAGTTCTTATAAAATGCTACTAATAAATACTAAAAATGCAAGTCTTTGAAAAACTGTATTTCACAAAGATAATCCTACAATGCACAAATAAGAATAATAATATTTATTACTATTATTATTATTATAATATTATTATTATTATTACTACTACTACTACTACAACAATAACAAACTTTTTTAGTCTTCCAAGGGGCTGGCTAGAGTGTAACTCTATATTATCTTACCTCATTACCCATGAAATTTAGGTATCCTTCTCCTCCTAATGTCATTGTTAAAAAGTGGATCATCTGCAAATATGTTTAAGGAAATCAAATTTGTAACATCCCCAAACACAAAGCAACATGAGAAGCTTCTACCAAATAAGGTGTAACAAACAAACCTTGACCAGTGCAATTCCTTGATCAACAACAGGAGAAGCTTCTGTCAAACAAGACATTCCAGAATACATTTCACTGTCCATTAGCATAAATGCAATAGTCTTGTCTCCAACAATAGCTTGATCATGACTCTCAGCATAAGCCACACATTTCTCATTGTAACGTCTATTCGTCAAACTCCATGTTATTTCCTTCATTGACCAATCCGCAACACTCTTCTTATTCTTCAAGTAATCCATCCACCTGTCCGGAATACCCATTGCTAGCCGATAGTCAAACCCGATACCCCCCTCCAACACTGGTCGGCAAAGTCCGGGCATACCGGACACATCCTCAGCAACCACAGTCGCATCGGGCATGATACTGTGGATCAGCGTATTAGCAAGCATCAAATAAACCACAGCATCGACATCTGTTGCCTCACTGAAGTACTCATTATAGTCTCCCGTGAATGAAAAACTGATACCATGATGATGATATAACATAGAAGTAACTCCATCAAACCGAAACCCATCAAATTTGTACTCTTCAAGCCACCACCTCAAGTTTGAAAGAAGAAAACGAAGGACTTCCCAATTGGAATAATTGAAGAGTCTGCTATCCCACACTTGATGGTAGCCTCGATCTCCACTGTGGAAATAAGACTCTTGTGAGCCTTGGCCAACATCAAAGCCATTAAGGCCATCAGTGACATTGTTGCTAGCATGGCTGTGAACAACATCCATCAAGACCCTTAAACCTAACCCATGTGCTTTATCAATCAGATACTTAAGGTCATCTGGTGTTCCGGATCTGCTGCTCACCGCAAAAAAGTTTGTAACGTGATACCCAAATGATGCATAGTAGGAATGCTCCATGATAGCCATCAATTGGACTGTGTTATAATTGTTTTCCTTAATACGAGGCAAAACATCATCGGCAAATTCTCGGTATGAGTTGACACGAGGTTCCGAGCTACTCATCCCAACATGAGCTTCGTATATGCGTGGGGCCTTGGGTTGAGGTGGACGTGGGAATTTAAAGTCATACCTGTAAATTTATCAGAGAATGTCAACCATTGATACCTTGGACATGTTGCATTATAGATGGGCAAATTATATTATCAGTGTTACATAAATGGTGTGAAAGTGAGCATAACTCATCAACTTTAGGCTATATTTGGAACAAGAAAACACGGTAGGGTCGTAGGAAAAGGAGAAAAAAGTACTTGTATTAAAGAAAATAGTTTCTAATGGTTGCTTTTACCTTGCAAATTATGAAGGGAAATCATATTTGATTAAAACTTTATGAAATTTTACATGTATCTATATAACAGAAATATATGAATAAAATGAGTTTGAACCAATTTTTTCTTTCCCCAATTCTCTTTCATTCTATTTCGTTCCCTGGTTTCTTTCACCAACATTTTTCATATTCATATAGGAGCATTTATATACTCCGTGAGGATTTAAATTGGCATGCAAGAATCAAAGGCTGATGACTAGATAGTGTTTTCTCAATCCTCAAATGATAGCAAAAAACCACTTCAGTCTGAAGTGCCCAAGGGTAAGCAAGATTACCTTTCAGAAGCTGGTGGGTCCCAGTAGACGCCATCATAAGGAGCAGCAAACTTTGTAGGATCTACAGTAGCATACTTTATCCAAGCAGGGATCCTATCAACCCAAACTCCATTCCCGTCTTTAAAACGAAACTTAACTCTAGACTTATGTGGGATAGCTGGGTTTCCATCATCATCATCAGGGATATTTATGCTCCATACACCAAACTGGTCCTTCTCCATCCGGTGGCGAGACCCATTCCATTCATTAAAATCACCTATAATTTCTGCTTCCCTGCACTTTCAACAGGTTCATTCATTAAAATCACCTACTATTTCTGCCTCCCTGCACTTTCAACAGGTTATGTTAACCACAGTACATAGTGAATGAGCACAGCCTCCAATAGCCACCATAACTTACTGAGCCACAGGCGCCCATTCCCTATAGACAATGCCACCATTTTCTTTGGTGAACCCAAATTTCAAATAGCCTGCAACAAAGAGAGAAGCCACTTAAATTAAGCCACGTACGCACACCCAACATACTAATGAATAATGGATACATCTAAATTTATACTCTAGGCCCTTGTTTGATTCAAAGGAGGGGAGAGGATGGGGGAAAATTGAATAGAAAAAAAAATGAATGAATGGAGTGGGGAGGAATTAGTATTTTGGAAAAATGTGAAGAAACATCATATCTGATATAATTTGTGTGGTAATTAAAAATATATAAATCTAAATGTTTGATAATATACTTATAATGTAAAAGAAATGGTTCAAGAACATATTGGAGGCAATAATTATAAATTAATTAATAAAAAATTACTCTCTCGAAATCTCACAAAATAGTTAGGAGGATGTTATAGCTCCTCTGGTTTCTTCCCCCTTCCCCATAATTTCCCCAACCAAACAAATGAAATTGCTTCCTTTCCTCGCATCCCCTCCAAGTTACTCAAAGCAAATAAAATTAACAGTATGTTTGTTTCAAGGAATTTGGAAGGAAAAGAGAAGAAAACAATTTTCTCTCATTTTCCTCACCAAAATGAGAGGAATTTATTTTTCCATCCTCTTAGTACTTTTGCCTTCTCATTTGCTTTTCCTTCCACTTTTATTTTCTTTTCCTCTCTAACCAAACAAGAAAAATTCTTTTCCATCTCATTTTCTCTTCTTTTCCCTTTCAAATTCTTTGAACCAAACATAGTTTAACTGTATATTGTTGTGAAATTCTACCGGGTTTGTTGTTGCATCAAGTAGTGAATCTCTTTAAGTGGTGCAAACTTTCCTCCACTAAGGAGTGAATAACTAAACCTTTAATAGTGATAGAATTTAGGATGGGTATGGACAACGGGATTGGGCAATAAGACACTTGGGTTGAACCACTTTAAAAGATTGAATCCAATCGATTAGTTAGTTCAACTCTAGAGCTTATATACCGATTATTTTACTCTTAGATTTCCGATGTGGGATGTACTCTTACAAATAGTAACATCAGCTCAATCTCAGATGCATTTTTTTTATCTAAGAAGAAGACCTCCAAACTCCAATGCAATGATTTTAGCATTACCTAAAGAAAATTCTTCAAGACCCCCTTCATAATCTTCTAAGAGCTTTTTCTGGTCCAAGTATCTCTTCATTCTATATCTGAAGTGATCTTTATATGATTCCAGTCCTCGGTCCAGGCTAAGAAGGTGGACATTCTCAATTTCTTTCTCTGATTCCGTCATTGTTGGACTATCATCAGTCAAGGTTGATGAAATATTTGAATTACGCTTCCTCTGTTGCAAAAGGAGAACAAACAAAATCATTACTTTACATTAAACCCTACCCTACACTCAAGAAACTATAAATTATTTGTACACAACCAGACCAATTAGCATTCTCCACAACATATGTAAATGAACCAAATGCTGTCTGTCATCAGTAAAGACTGGGATTTTGTTGGCAACTGTTTTCATGACACTGTCTAAAAAAAGAAGAATCAAACTTACCCATAGGTTATTCCTAAGCCATGAAGTTGGAGTATGAAAAGCTTTCCTGGGCAGTTTATGAGAACCAAATATGCGGCCAGTACCTTGGCAGTGAGGTGAAGCAAAAGATGGCTTGTTTCTGGAACCCTGCCCACAAAATACGATTACATTATTATTATAATATTTAAAAAAAATGTCAAATCGAAGAATGGAAGAATGAAGAACAGAACAATTGAAGAACAAATAAAGGGTGGGATTGAATTTACCGGGGAAAGATTAAAGGATGAAATGGGGATCAAACAGACATGAGGATGGGGTGATAAGAATAAGCTGGCACAAGGGGTGTGCATATTATTATTATTATTATTATTATTATTATTATTATTATTATTATTATTATTATTAATTGCAGCAGCTTCTCCAGCTCGGAGCCGAAATAAGGACGAGGAGGAACATTGGAGAGGAGTGTTAATTGGTGGTATATATTAATGGAGGGTGACGGCTTCACTTCACACTGCCGTGCCGTGCCGTACAGTGTAAAACAAACAACAATTTCTTGTCTGTGCTTGTATGACAGATGAAGCAAGGGATATGCTTCGAGTAACAAGAAAGATGATTGGATACATCAACATTTGTATCCATCCAACAATGTCTTGTGAGAAAACATAGTTTTTTTTATGTATTCGTATTTATTGACTTATTGCTGATAAATAATTTTTAATTTATAAATTGTTTATAAATTAAAAAAAAATTGTAGAAGTAAAATCACTTAAATAATAGATAATAGAAATCATTCTAAATAAAACTAAAACATAGAGAAACAGTATTAAAATTGGACTTTCATGTTTTTTTCTAAAATATGACTTTGCACTACGGTAATGTGGCACTATATATATACACATTAATATACTTTTTGGTAATATACATCACCATGGTTGGTAATGTAAGTCCTATTTCGGGAATTAAAATATGGGATTCCTATTTTAGTATGTATTCAATGTTTTAGTTCTATTTTGGTCTTTCTCCCAATAGATAATTCATTTTGAAATATTAATAAATAATGATGGAGAATTTTGTAAATAATCTGTTTAAGCCATAGAAACAAAAAAAATTGGCTTAAAAATAAGTAGAAAAAACCTACTTATTTCTTGGCTTAAAAACAATTTATAAATCAACTTATAAGCACAGAGATACATGTCATCAACTAATTTATAAGTTAAAAATGCTTGTATGTAATTTTGATCGTCTTATTAGTACAGAGGAAAACAACATGTTGTGTAATAAGATACAAATGTTATGTATCCCCAAAACAACCCATCTAATAAAGAGCATTAGTTTTTTTACAACTTCTAATATTTTTTAACTCCTTGTAGTTTCTTATATGATTCGACTTTAGGATTCCAACTAAAAAGAGCATACTCTATTAGATGCGTGGTGGAGAAATAGTTGGGGTACGAGTTATGGTACAATTTAGTGTACCCAAGTATATTAAGTATTTTTGAAAATAAAAAGATGAGCCTCATTACTGAGGACTTTTCAGAATCGGTCAGACAGTCACTCGAGAGAAGATAAATTGTGCTTTAATCATATGCTAGCTAGCAAAGCATATAGCCTACACTTGATACTTGCATAAAAGATATACTTATCATAATTACTCCCATCACAGTTAGAGGGATCAAACTCAAGACTAGCCCATTGTTTGCATCCTTTGCCCTAAGTATTTTTGAAATATTAAAGCATATGTACGATATTTTCCTTACATCCACAGTAAGTATTCATTTACAAATAACCGAATATTTATTTTCGAATAATTGAGTATTCATTTTCGAATAGTTGAATACTCATTTTTTCTAAAAATTAAGTTATATTTAAAAATGAATACTAATACATAATTAATCCAAAATAAATAGAGCCCGGTTTCATGGCCACTGGATTCCAGTGGTCACGGAAGTTACTGCCTCCTACGAAGCTCCGTTCATAAAATTGATGATTCCTACCCATCAACCCCCCGGTAAACACCCCGCCAAGTCCCGACCCAAACTAATCACCTCACCTACGTCGATTGCACCTCGTAAGTATAAAGTCAAAACTTTTGACTTTAAAGTCAATTATACTTACGAGATGCAATTGACGTAGGTGGTGTGATTAGTTTGGGTCGGGATTTGGCGAGGTGTTTACCAGGGGGTTGAGGGGTAGGAATCATCAATTTTATGAACGAAGCTCCGTAGAGGGCAGTGACTTTTGTAACTACTGAAATCCAGTGGCCATGGAACCGGGCTCAAATAAATATTGTGTGATGGGAAAATGAATGTGAGGAGTAATTTATCCTCGTAGAGTCGTAGTAATAATGACCACATTATGAGTAGTCTTCAATATTTGGAGCCAAACTTCCCTCTTTTGAAACAAACCCCTTCACTGTGGCGCCGCCCCCTCCGTTTGGGTTTCAGAGCTGTAAGGCTTTCCTCTCTCTACGCTAACAGTCCTGCGCTCGCCTATTTGTATACTGTCGTTTACTTGAAATGCACAATCCGTATTTCTGATTCTCTGCTACGATTTCGGAATTTGGAGGGTTTCAATTAGGGATTTTCGTCACTGTTCAGCTTGGGTCTGTCTGGATAATTGAAGACAATTTTGCCCTGTGTTCTTTAGTTTCTTCCATTAACAGTACATTGAAATTGCAAGGATTTTCCATGTTTTGCCTCTTGAATTGCTATAATTTTTTCCTGTTTGTTTGACATGTCTGGATTAAGTTGCTCATTATGCATACACTGAACTCTGGGTTAGGTATTTGGTTTGAATTCAGTAGAAACAATGGTTGAGAAATTTGAATTTTGGGTGTTTGTTTGAATTGCTGCTGGTGCGATGTGAGCTTTCTAAGGATATTAATTAAATATGGAATATTTGGAGAAGAAAAAACGTAGGCATTTTTATAAAGGTTGGGGGAAATTTGGAGGAATTATCTAAACTATACGGACTTTTGATCAGATCCATTTTGGAGCTGATGCATTTCGTTTATTCGTTTCAGCTGCTAGGCCATACAGAAGCTTATTCTGTAATTATTATGATTATATTTTTATTAACTAATATTTGGCGATCGGTGTTTTTTTAATTAATGCCTTGAACATGTTTATGTGTTTTCTGCATTTTTATTTAAAGATTGTGCTGAAGGAATGCTCTTTTTCCCTTTCCATGTGTTCAGTGTAAGGAAGCCAGAAAGCTCTATATCTAGTCTTTTTTTGCTGTGAATTCATCTGGTACTACCGATGATAAATTCTCAGCTTAGTAATGGGACAACCAGCAACGGAACTGCTAAAAATCTTTTGGTCGATAAACAGCTAACTGGTGTCCCTAAGAAGATTGCTTTAAGAGATGTTCAGAACCAAAACGGCAGCCTGATAACTAACCATCGGGACAGTTCATTATTATTGAGCACAAAACATGATTCAGAGGGAACTAGGGTCTGCGGGAATAAGAGGCTCACTCCTGAGCGCCCTTCAAGTCCTGTTTGCCATCTGTCATTAGCCAGTAATGGGGCAAATGATCATATAATCAATGCCCGGAGACGAATTGAATTAGAACTCGGTAGAGGAAGAACTCAAAATGACTTGGAAAAATATGTAGAGTCAATCCCTGCAAAGCGTGTGTGCCAACCACAAAAGGAAGTTCCTCCAAAGGCAAATCAGCTGAAAGAGAACAATGTCAACAATGCTTCTATAACCGTGCCAGATAATATTATTTCAGCTGGAAAGTCTAATAATAGGCTCCCACGGTCTGCTCAAGCTGATTCTGCCAAGCTCATTTCTGATAAGTCCCTGTCACTTGATTTCATGGTGGCTGACGATCAGCAGCGGACAGCACGTTTTGCTCGCCTGCAAATGTTATTGAAGAAGTGTGATGAGTCTGACTATAGTGATTATATTCAGAGTAGGTTCTCTTTCACATGATGACACGATTCGCATTGCTGGTTTTCTTCCACCGTTAGAATATAATGCATTTGGATTGTCTTTTGCAGTGCTTCTACATCTTTCACCTAGTGAGCTCAGCAGACACGCTGTTGATCTGGAGAAAAGAGCCATCCAATTGGCTATTGATGAAGGTAATACCATTGTTAACTTGAAGATTTTCTTCTTGATCTTAGTTTCCCTAATTATAGCGTGGGACTGCCATGATAAACTTGTATGTCACTTACGAATTATCTCTTGTGTTGTTTCAATGTGCTTGCCCCCAACTATCTCATGTTATCAGCCGTGAGTAATTGAACTTAAATTTGGATAGTTTCTCAATACTTATAAGACTTAAAATCTGTTTGTCTCAGCAAATATAAGGCACTTTTATCTGCTTTGCTAATTGATATTCATCTCTCTAATATACAACGACAACATTACCCCAGTGCCTCAAAGGCTCCCGCCCATTGCGGGGTGGGGGTGGGAGGTCGGGTGTACGTAGTCTGACCCCTATGTTAAAACATATTGTGGCTGTTTGCAAATGACCCATGATGAGCGTGGAAAGTTGCATTGGCTAACTGTTATTTCACTATCAAAAGGAGCACTGATAGTTTAAGAGCCATTTTGCTTTATTCCATCTTACTCCAAAGCCAAATAATAGTGAATAATTGGCTCCATTGGAGATGGAAAATTCATCTCTCTAATATAATTGGGATTATGGCTTGGTTGTTGTTGTATTCATCCCTGTAAGTTATTTTGTTTTTTCTTTTAGTCCCTTTTCTTGAACCTCTGTTTTAAAAAGCGGACCTAGCTCACAAAACCAACTGTCTTTTCTTAAACCATCATTCTCAATTTTAAGGAGCTAAAAATGTTCTGCATGTACAACGACAAGCCATATTTAAGCCCACTTGTAAATAAATGTTTGAGTTTTATACCTGAAGTTGCAAATTGCAATAACATCAACTACATACGAGTAGAGAGCTAGAGGTTTGGATGCTTTTGTCGATGAACTAATCAAATCACTCTTGCTGCTGGTTTATGGGTTAGGTTGTGCTTATTCTTTTCTAAATTTACATGGAACATGCTGCTGTAACCAACGTTTATAATGAAATACAGAATGTCTCGGCATTGGCCTTTTTTTCAGGAAAGGAAATAAACCGAGGGAAAACGCTAAATATTCTCGGGAAATCTCCTCCAGATCCCACATTGTTGCAAACAGCACCGTTGCTTCAGTCCAAACACGAACATTAGCCAAGTTCTTGCAATCATGTTCATCCTGCTTGTGATTTTTGTTTTCATGTAGAGAGCGATCATTATCGTCACATGGAGTTAGTTTTTTGGTTTTTTTTGGAGCATGCTAGAAATCCACCATGGGTGCTCCCACGGATGACAATCACAGATAATTTATACATACACACACATCATCTGTGTTTACAAAATGATTATCGTCTATGTATAAATCACCTGTGATTGTCATATGTGCAGGCACCCGTGGTGGGTTTCTAGCACTTTTGTTTTTTGTTTTTGTTTTTTTGCAGCAAAGGCAAACTACTCCTGTAGGACGTATATCATCTCCGCGTCCTCAAATTCAAGGGTTCATTTCTCAATTTTTCTACATATTTTGATTTCATATCACTGTTAAGTTGAGATGTGCAAACTGAGGAGCAATATCAGCTTATGGACTCATGTTCTCAATGCTATGGGGATGACACCAAGGTTGACACCCTAGTGTTTTACAAACAATGATTGTTTGTATGTGATTCTTTCTGGTGGTGTTAATCTTGGTGCCATCCGCATGGTTAGTATATTTTTCTTCTCACAATTACTCAATTTTCTCGTCTTGTGATACTTTAAATCCAAAATGATTTTTTTTTTTGCATTGTACTTGTGTGATTAAATTCACCACAATTTGAAAAGCTAGTTGAAAATCCATGAATTAAAGGTGAAATATAGTTAATCCGCATTTGAGATTTGGTTTCATACATAGATCGAATTATAATTTAACAAATCAGTAATATTTTTTGAGTACCGTTTTATTTGCTTAACTGCCCATGCTTGGATGCAATATATACCGTACAACCTAAGATTTTAGGTGCTTGACCTAAGATTTTGTTGGTAGAAAGTAAATAACGGGGAAAAAATTAAATATGATTCGTTATCAAATCACAAAAGAAAAATGTTAGGGAAACCTCACTTGGAGTACATCAAGTGTACATTAAGGTAAAAATAGACACACACTGAGTATTTGTATGTGTTTGTACTTTTTTTTTTACGTTGGGTACCCCAAATAACATTCTCCTACCACTCCTCGTCACAAAAATAGACGGATTTCAAAGTGGATATATGATGGTGGAAAATGCTAAAGAGGCACCAAGTGTGCCTCCAAGCATGCTACCAAATATATAATTAATTTTTTTTATTTTTCTTTTTCCAATTCTAATCTCTCTCCAACCCTTCTCCCGCTTCTCTCTCCAACCCTTCTCCCGCTTCTTCTTTCCCAAATTTGGCTTGCCGGCAAAATCCCCAACCCTCCACCTCCAGCGACCCTCCATCTCCAGCGCACCCCCAGCCCTCCAGCGCATCGGCCCCACCACC